CACACTGCGTAATGAAGGCCTCCGTGCCAGAACTCCCAGGCGTACCCCCTTGCTGTCTCCAAAGAATAAGAAGAGTCGACTGCAGTATGCCAAAAGCCATGTGGACAAACCACAAAAGTTGTGGGATAGTGTTCTGTGGACTGATGAAACAAAATTAGAACTGTTTGGGCCCATGGATCAACGCTATGTTTGGAGGAGGAAGAACAAGGCCTATGATGAAAAGAACACCTTGCCTACTGTGAAGCATGGTGGAGGGTCAATCATGCTTTGGGGCTGTTTTGCTTCTGCAGGTACAGGGAAGCTTCAGCGTGTGCAAGGTACCATGAATTCTCTTCAGTACCAGGAGATATTGGATGGAAACGTGATGCAGTCCGTCACACACCTGAGGCTTGGGAGACGTTGGACCTTTCAACAGGACAATGATCCCAAGCATACCTCCAAGTCCACTAGAGCATGGTTGCAGAGGAAAGGCTGGAACATTTTGGAGTGGCCATCGCAGTCACCAGACTTAAATCCGATTGAGAACCTCTGGTGGGACTTAAAGAAAGCAGTTGCAGTGCGCAAGCCTAAGAATGTGACTGAACTGGAGGCCTTTGCCCATGAAGAATGGGCGAAGATACCCGTAGATCGCTGCAAGACACTTGTGTCAAGCTATGCTTCACGTTTAAAAGCTGTTATAACTGTAAAAGGATGCTGTACTAAGTACTAAGATTGAATGTCACTTGGGGGTTGAATAAAACTGATAATGCTGTGAGCACAGAAAAGACATTTGTGGTTATTTCATTATAACTGTTATGTTATATTTGTCTGACCTACAAGTGCCTCTTTAATGTAAATGTAAGCAAGATGACTGAATGATCAAAAGCAATGTCAAACTGGCCAAAACACTCAATTTCAGTGGGGGTTGAATAATTTTGGACACAACTGTAGAAGTAAGAGAATTGATGATCTAATGATTGATTTTTCCTAATATTTGCAGAGATCTATCTGATCTGCTAAAGAGCACAGAAATCAGGAATCCAGCCAATCTTAATTTATGAACTTTGTGATCTCTGCATGCATACGTAGAGTATGGAATAAGTAAAATTTGGAGTTTTCACTTTGCCAAACTTTTGGCATATCCTGTAACATTTCAGGGAAAATTTGGCATTCAACAAAATGCATCAGATCACTTCAAGGATACGTTCACCTTTTAAACAAAAATAATAAATGCACATTTTTTTTGCAGATAAAAAAATGTGTATTATTATTTTTGTCTACAGGAGCCTGGAAAGCATTGCATTAGCGATCAGTAGATCACTGATGCACATGCAGGTCTCCTGCTGACCTGTCAGAATATCTGCTTACCATACGGGATGTACGAGCAAGCAGATATTCTGACAGGAAGCTTCAATGAACTACCACGGCGCTCCACAGCGCCGTGGTAGTTCATTGAAAACTAGAAGCCCACAGCGGCTAAGGCTGTCGGGACTTACAGTTCATTCATTCACAGCCGCACTGTATTCAAATTTGGCAGATAGTACGGGGACACTTCTCCCCATACTATATGTGAGAGGGAGAGGGGGCAGGCAGCGGCTGCGGCTATGGGAACGTGTTACATGTTCCACGCTAAAAATGGTTGGAACATATAACATGTTCCCAAAGGTGAAATTATCCTTTAAGAAGGCGAAATAAAGGTATTTTGGTGGTTTTTAAGGGTGCAATGGATTTTGAATGGTTCCAGAAGGTTATATCAGCTCTATTTCACTATCTTACACCTGTTCTTCTACCAAAAAATGCAGTATTTTTAATTGTAAGCCTAACAATAACCATAACACTCAACCTCAAAATGGATAATCCTAACAATTTGTTTATAACCATTAAACAAAATCATGCAATTGCCATGTCAGCACTGTCATTGCTATCACATGGCTTTGGTTATAAACAAAGCCAAATCATCATATTTGTGTGGCTTTGTTAATCAACAGCCTCTAACTGCCAGACACATGTAAATAAGTGAAACTTTCAGATCCCATTCCATTCCTACTCTTTACCATGTCATAGCTATGCAAGTTTAAAATGAGAACATAAATGTAGCTCCCATTGTACAACAAGACCCTTTTGTGTCCTGATAGTACAGGAGCTTTGCTGTCAGCATCAGTTGGTGAAGAGGACACAGAGATATAATATGCAAGACCTTGATGGATTTCTGGATTTTTTGATATTGTGTAAAAGAAGGAGCTGAAACAATCAAAGATGTACAGAAACACCCAGAGACAAGTGAACTGGAACTTAGTTAAATATATGGCAAGCAACCCTCATGAATATTACATAGTAAAAGCCATTCTATCAGGATACACTTATATCTAAAATGTCACTTTTCACTGGGCTGACCCTTTACAACTCTCATTTAAATCACATTCTTGTTATTTAATTAGACTGGAGTTGATGTTTTTTTAAATTTATTGTCAAAAGAAATACAAATGCTTCTTCACACAATTTGAGTATATTCTAGTCTTCCCTTAAAAAATACAGCCAGTGCTTCTATATTAGACAAGCTTTTAAACCATACTTATTACTGTCAGTTGTGAGTGATAGATGATGATGTGTATCCCTCATGGAAATTAAAGAGCTGACAGATATTCTCGAGATATTAAAATAATTGTATGCTGTATTGCAATGAATGCTGCAATATGATAGTGATCAGATGTGAGAAGACTTTTACTAGATGATGATTTTATCTGTATTTATTATAGTACATCCATGGTTGGCTTATGAAGTGTGATAGTCGTATTGCAGCTTTCTCAAATTTATGGAAATACAGAAAGAAGTATCAGACCAATATGATATAAAAAGTCCTAGATAATTCTGATTGTTGGTAAAAAAAAAAGTAATATAAAAATAGCCAGCATGCTTTGTGAGTAACACCACTCCCCCTTCATCAGGGCTGAACAAAGGATAAAACTTGGATGGACTCCAGTATTGAACTCTCCGCATGGAGAAACAACAGCAAAACTTTTTCAAAGTGTCTAAAGTTGGAATTCTTTGTGCTGGCTAGGGGTGAGACTGAGCCTTGGCTGTTTGTGCATTTGAGGCAAAAGCCCAAACATCCATTCAGTGGGAGCTAAATGTCATGTATAAAAGTGATATTACTTCTGCTATTATAGATGACAGCTTCCCTTGTTCATGGTTGTTAAGGATGCTGGCTCCATTCGCTTACATGGCTGGAAGGCCAGAAAAGCATGAGTATCCCTTCCTGAACAATACCAAGTCAAATCGCAGGTCTAGGATAAAGGTCTGGTAGAGATGAATGGGGTCCCCTGCTGCTGTGTTTACAAAGAGAACAAAGCTGCTTGCCTCCCTCTTACAAGATTTTCTGCCAATTTTGAGGGCATCTGGACTGGTATGATTCAGGAGGATGGGGGACACTCATGCCTGAACAATAAAACATATGAATTTTTAGGGGGACATTTGTTAAAAAGTGTGCAGGCCATTTTTTAGAGGAAAAATGGGCTGGGAATTTATAAAACACTCCTATTCAGGTATGCAGCCTGGCTGAGTAAAAATGGCAACCATTCCAATTCATTAACAGCTTTTAAGATGCACATAGAAGGGCTTAGCACAGAACAAACAGTATAAAATTTTCCCAGCACACACAGTGGAAGCTGCACTGCCTTATCAAGGACCCTCTGTATGGTGGGCTCTTAAATCTAGTCTATGAGAGTCCCTATGTTGCAGCATATGCTGTATATCAATGGCTAAATTGAGTGCAGGTATGCATGAAGGCTAGCCAGGAAAGAAAGGGCAGTGAGTTTGCTGCGCCTCTCCTGAACCATACCAGGTCATGTGCTTTCACCATTGGTTGGGTACCTTACAAAGGGTAATGTCCAAGTGCTCCCATGTAAATGAGTACCTCATGTTGCTCATCCACAATAAATAAATAAACAAAAGCAGTAACATTGTGAAAAAAGTCCTTTATTAAAAAAAAAGATCCTCAATGTAAACAAAAGTACCGGGGATCCTGTGTGACCACATAATAAAATAGAAAAATAATGCCCCGATGGAAATCGAACATCAATGCAGAGATGTAGATCTACATCAGTTGCAATGAGCGATTACTGATGATGTTGACCTGCTGCTACTACCATTGCAATGACAAATTCCTGTTGCTGCTTTAATGTAAGCACAGCAACAGGGAATCCAGGCAATGTCATTAACCAAATATGGTCATGAAGTTATTTGGTTAATGATGTCACTCAGAATCCTCAGCAGGTTGTTTGCAAATAGAAGCTGGCAGGGGTCTGTGATTTATAGGTGGTAGTGATACTTCAGCTAAATGGCAGATCCCCTGTTTCTGACAAAAGGAAGTCAGCAGGGATCTGTCATTTATAGGTGGTAGTGATACTTCAGCTAAATGACAGATCCCCTGTTTCTGACAAAAGGAAGTCAGCAGGGATCTGTCATTTAGCAGCAGTAGTGCTAAATGACAGATCCCTGTCCATTGTTTGTAAACACAAAACGTTACTTTTAATGCATCCTATTACACTTGCAAACTCACATGTGACAGTGACCAGATACCTATGCTTTGTTTGAACTGCAAAAATTGCAAACTGGCCTTTCAAAAAGGCCAGAAAAAATGGATTTAATGAGGTTTAATGCTGTGTTTGGGTTTAGCATCCTTTTGGCTAGGTTTTCTGAACTTCCTGAAAACCGTACTTTGCCTGATTTGTTCATTCCAAGTTCCTCCCTACCTTTCTGTTCATACTCATCAGATATTTAAGTAAACCCTTCACAAATGTTAAATGACTAAGATCAGATGAGTGCAAGTAGGCAGGCAGAAAGATGGTTCAGTGCTTTGTCCAATCAGAGGAGGTTGGAGAGTTCATTACTGGGAGAATGCAGGGCCCCATGACAGCATTTATGGAAGGTCCTGTGAGTTATAAGATATGGTCCCGTGTCATGAAATTTGTCATTGCTACACAGGAGGAAATAAAAATATTTATGCTAAAATTTATTTTTTCAGGCTTGGAACCCTTAGACTCCCTTAGATGTGTTAATAACTTCAAAGACAACTGGACATGTCACTGGACAGAAATGGTGAAAGTGCGAGAAATTCTTCCTGTGAGACTCTACCACTGGAATAATCTGGACAGGTATTTCTGCATATTAACGAACAGTCAAATTCTCCCTTCCAGCAAGCATATTCACAGTGATAGACCGATTGCAGTGTGCAAAGAATTACTGCTCCACTTGGTTTGGAGTGCTTATCCTCCCTATCCCATGTGAATACTCCTGTGCAGGGGACTACAGAAGGCTAACATGAATACCTATCAAAGTACTTCTACTAGCTGCAATCAATTTTTTTCTGACTATATAGCTGGGCCAAATATTTTTTTAATATCTGTCTGGAATGCAACTTTAAAGTGGAAAAAGGAGTAAAGATTTGGTATATTAGAATGGAATATCTAGAAATGGTAAAGTAGTTGTAAAGTTTTACCTCACCAAACAGGCCACTGTCAGTTTATCAAATTTTATGTTGTTTGCAATGATTAAATGAATAAACATTGCACCATTATTACCTTTTTTCTTTCCGCATTATCGTGTGACCACAAGTTCCCTGCATATCATAACACTTGGTGGAGGTGTGGATGCTGAAACCTGCCGTGCCACTAAAGGAAGTGACTTATGCCTGCTGGGACTAGGGTACAAGGATGGGAAGAACTCTTCAGGAGATGTGTACACATGCCTTGTTGGAGCTTTCTCATGAATAAGGTGTCACAGTCAGGGATTAGGCTCAAAGGACAGTAGCTATAGCAGTAGAGAAGTTCCCACCGACCAGCTTGATAAGATCCATCCGTCGAATCAGGTCGGATGTTCACCAGAGCTCCTGATGATGGAGATGGGTTTTGCTGCATGTTAGTACCAGGTCGCGGTCCTCAAGATCTCCCCATCAGGAGGAGAGCAAGCTGGGGTCCAGAAGCAGGTATAGCAAGTAGGGATCAAGCAGAAGTGTAGTCAGTAAACTAGCCAAAGGTCAATAACAAGTGGTTGCAGGTTGGGATTAAGCAGAAGCATAGGTGAGGAGAAAACCTCATTGGTAACGAGTGGTAGCAGAGATATGGACAGCAGCTGGAGTGACAAGAGCGAGGTATTGGCTAAAGAGAGGACAATAATCTGGCAAACAGAAAGTGCAAAGGCACAGCTAAAATAGGATGTTCATGAGAGGAGTAAAGGGTTCAAGAAAAATAAAGTTCAAGGCAAGATCATTCAAGGAATTGTCCAGGGAGCTGTCTAGCATCCCAGGTGGCTCAACAAGACATTGCCAGACATAGCAGAGGTTTCTGGTTCACATCTGGGTCCTTGTGTGTCTTCATTCATGAGAAGGGGTCCAATATGGATGCATCACCAGAACGGGAAAAGAGATGCAGTAGGCCGATAACACTAGTAGGAGTGGTATTTAACAGCAGCAATTTAGCATTGTTGGCCCAAAAAAAGAAATACCTGGCTGCTGCGCACACTGTCAGGATTAGCAGGTGCTTTTGAATAATACATAAATATATAACACTAACACATACTCCAAAAATGATTACTTTAAACTTACAAATGAATGGAAGATTTTCTGGTATTCCTGCTGAAAATATCAGTGCTTTTCCTGGTATGTGAGTGTGCCTAGGCACTCTTGCGCATACAGCCACATAGCTGTATTTCTGCAGTGTGAGATCTAAGGCCTGCTGCTTTGACTGATAGTTCCAGGAGATCCCAATCTAATCGTATTTATCAAAAATACAAGCACACAACTTTTTTGTAAGGATCTGTAAAAAAAAATCTGAAATAAATGTATAGTGTTTTTGTGGTTGCTACTTTATTTAACCACTTCCAGACCGGACACTTTTACCCCCTTCCTGACCATGGCAATTTTCAGCTTTCAGTGCTATCACACTTTGAATGACAATTGCGCAGTCATGCAACACTGTACCTATATTTTTTACCATTTTTTTGAGACAGATAAAGCTTTATTTTGGTGGTATTTATTCACCACTGGGATTTTTATTTTTTTTGCTATGTAAATGAAAATGTCCAAAAATTTTGAAAAAAGTGTTTTTTTTTATAACATTTTGCAAATAAATAATATTTCATCATAAATCTTGGCCAAAATGTATTCCGTTATCTTTTTAGTAAAAAAAAAAATCCAAATTAGTTTTATAACCAAAAATTATAATTTTTAAACATTTGTTTTACATTTTTATTTTATTTTTTTATATTATTATTTTTTATTTGTATTTTTTTTTTTACATACTGTCACCCTAGCAGTACAGTGTCACCATGGTGGCACTGTACTAGTGGGGGGTGATGAAGATTTATTTTTTTTTTTTTACACTGATTGCTTTTACACCCATATAGGATGTAAAAGCAATCATTTCTCTTTCTCTCTGTCTGCATTCTTGCAGTCATTGAGAAGTACTGAGTGAGCTGTGATTGGTCACAGCTTGTCACATGGTACAAGGTTGTTGTGAATAGCCTTGTACCATGTGACCTCTGTGATCATTCACAGATTTCACATGTAGTAAGCAATGATGTCACAAGTGACATCTTGCTTACTACTTTGCATGTGATCACTGATTGGCCAAGCAGTGATCACATGATCGGGACCTTGTACAGAGGTCCTGTCCGATGATCGGTGTTTCAGTGTGTCCGGAGGACACAGTGGGCACCGGATCGCGGTGCTGCGCGCTCCCAGGGAGCGCGCACAAGCAGGGTGCAGGGAGGCCGTTTATAAACAGCCATCCGACCCTGCACTGCCACCGTCCGGCTGTTTATATATAACGGCCGGTCGGGAAGTGGTTAATATATTTAGCACTAAAAATAAAGTTTGTAAAATATTTTTAATGTTGTCACTGTTAGGAAAATAGGATATATTGCATATGAACATTCCATATTAACCTATCTTTAGCCAACAGGTGGAGCTTTAGACTCCTTTTCACATGTTTAAGGGGCATTCCCACCCTTTGCGGTGCAGGAACTGTGCGTTTTTTTGCTTGTTGTGGTGCCCTGGGTGCCATTAATTTTTAATGCTACACCAAACACGTCTAGAAAACACGCACAATTATCTGGTTTGGTACAGTAAGATTTTAAAAGTCACACTTGCTATACTTGTGTTCCCATGCATTTGGCAGCCCAATAAATGAATGGGAATACATAAACATGTGTGCTTTGTGTTATGAACTGGCCCAAAAATGCTTGTTAGAAAATGCCTAGGACTGAAGAGCTTAAAGTGGAATTGCACTGCATCTGAGCACCACAAACCAAAAATGCTATTTAACTCATTTTTAATATTCAAAGCAAACTCACCAGTCCATTCATGTTTCTATGCTTTATTTTGCTGAGAATTCATGTTGAAAAACACCTCCTGGTATTTCTGGCAGTGGCCATCTTGAGTAAGGCATCAGCCCTTAGCACAGGCATTGGCTGAGCTGAGAACCCCCCTCCCCTCCTGAAGACTCCTGGGATGTATGACATCATTTGCCTAGGTATGGAAACCAGGAAGCAATGGAAGAAATTTATAAAAAAAGTTTAAAACAAGTAAATATGATGTGCTTCCTATCTTTTTACTAATGCTAGCAGCATAAGGACTACAAATAGTCAGTGTTGATTGAGAGAGTGAAGTTCCACTTTAAGATCAGATTAAACACACACACAGTGGCATTAGTCATAGAAATGACTCACAATCCTGCCTTCTCTGTACAGAACTCCAGCTAGAGTCTGAAAACAAACAGTTTCTGCTGTTCCCCTTCATTTTAGAAAAATCTAGAATGCTCCATGATACTAGTGTTATGAGTGCACAGCGTACACACTGATCACACATGTACAGTGGATTGTCTTTTAAAAATTGTGGATTTTTCCTAAATATATCTTCAGATTCAGACATCGCTGTGATCCCTTTGACTCTCAGAATCAGGAAGATGGGAAAGTTCTTATAAGTTGCCGCTTTAATGACATCTTCAGCTCTTTAGCAACTACCAATTTCACCTTCATAACAGAACGGGATGTACATACAGAGACTTGCATTATACCAGCATCTATAGGTAAGATTTTATAGACCAAACCATTATTCTATTCTACTCTATTCAGTTTCTTTTCTATTCTTTTATTTTCTTCTCTATTCTTTTCTATTCTATTCTGTTTTATTCTGTTCTATTCTATTTTACTCTTTTCTTTTCTATTTTACTCTGTAAAGCAGCCTAATTAGGAATCATCATCTTATTTCACTTGCATACCTTACTGTATTTATTGCAATATGTTTCCATTTCTAATTCCAATTAATTTTCAATTTAAATTAATTTTCACATTTAGATCATTTGTGTCGATACAATTTGTTTTGTATTCATTGAAATTGATTACTATTGTGATTAGAAAATTTGGATACATCCAAATCCGAATTTCGTCTGAATTTCTATTTGTAACAACACAAATCGCACATGTCTGCAAAACACCTTGTATTCTGTGTACAGGATCAAGCAAATTAACATGCATCACACATCTCAAAAGAGATAACTTTTTCCCCCCTTATGAATTTGTAAAATGACTGTGGCAGGAGTTCTGTTTTAAAGTGTAACCATACCTAACAAAACAAAAAAGAAAGTGAATATCCCAAAAAGGACCCACTCAGCACTAAGGCCTCTTGCACACAAAGCTTAAAAAATGCTGCATTTTTTTCAGCCTGTAGCACCTCTATGTAAGTCTATGAGGGTGATTTACTAAAACTGGTGCACACAGAACCCGAAGCAGCTGTGCACAGTAACCAGTCAGCGTCCAGATTTTAGGGCTCTTTCACATGGACGTTCTGATCGGATCCACCTGCCTGTTTTTCAGGCAGACCCGATTGGAACCTCCATTCTCCTCTATGGAGCTGCAGGTATAAACAGACATTTGTCCGTTTACACCCACCGACATGCAATCTGATCCGCCAAAAAGGGATGGATGAAAATGGACAGGTGGTCCATTTTCATCCGACCGCCCATTGAGGAGAGTGAGCAGCTCTGTGTCAGACACAGACCTGTCATCCGCTTGCTCAGCGGGGATCAGCAAAGATATCCCCCACTGAGCAAGCAGATCCACTAAACGGGTCCACTCTGTGTGAAAGGACCGTTATTGTCAAAGCTTATTAACCCGATGGTTCACACTGATGCGGCGCGGAATTCACAGCGTTTTCAGTGCGAATTCTGCACCGCATCACAATCACACCCCGTTCATACAAACCAATGCGGGTGTGTATGTTAAGTTAACAACACCCCAACATCAATCTGCAAAACGGAGTGCGATGTGCAGAATCTGATAGGTGTGAATACCCAGGCGATCTGATTCTAGTGCGGACCAAAAAAGGGTCCTGCACGTGTTTGGTGCGGGTGTGGTGCGAATAGAGCCATACGAAATGTATGGCTCTAATCGCACCGCATACAAATCGCATGTGATTTGTATGGGAATGCGGTGTGGTTCCTGTGTGAACATGGGATTTACTGCACTGCTGTAGTGTGAACCTAGGCTCAACAAGCTGAAGTTAGAAGCTGTCTGGTTACCATGCACAGCTGCACAAGATTTAGTACATATTCCCCCCCCCCCTGTATGTACATGCACACATAGGAATTTTCAGGCAGAAAAAAAAAAAACCCACCAAAGGCGTTTGGAGGAGGAGAGGAGCTGAGGAGCCGAGAAATTAGGAATGTGCTTTAGTGCACCTAGACGTGTCTAGAGTTTGAGCTTTAATGCATTCCAAAGGCCAGAATAAATTAATATATTGGCCAATAGAATGCATTAATGCTCAAACGCTAGACGTGCCTAAACATGCTTAAACGCACGCACGCATAATACGTGGCTTTTACCGTGTTTTAAGCAGCTTTTTCCTGACAGGAGTTCCTGTGTTTAGAAGGGCTAAAACTGCCGCCCTGTGTGAAAGAGGCCTAACCCTGATAGAAGTTCTAGTCCTTCCTCACTCTCTCTAAAAACAGAGAAAAGTTTCAGCTTCAGTTTAGATTTAAATCAGAGATTATATAAAAAAAGATAGCAAGACATTTTTTTCTTCCCATGGTTATGGTTTATAATGAATGCTGTAACATAGATTTGTAGATAAAAGTAGGATAACATTTAGTATTTTCTGTTTGCTCCATTTTAAAACGTATTCCTTCAGTTCGAATGCTGCCGCCAGAAGATCTTAAGGTCCAAAAGTCGGACAATGTCAAAATCAGTCTGACCTGGAAGATGCCAAAAAAACACATCTTCTGCATCTCTTTTGTACCAAGTCAAGTACTGCAGAAAGGATTCAGAAACATGGGAGGTACAGTACAATGAATAGTATTTTTGTCTATATCTTCAAAGCACATGTGAATTTTGATCATTTTTCTCTCTTTATGGGGATGTTTTATACACTCCATGGATGCACTGAATGCAAGACTGTTGGACATAGTATAACAACACATTTAAAGATGGTACGAGTAGAACCAAGCACATAGCAAGCTAAGATCACAAAATTCCACTATATAGATCTCCTTTTTATTTAAAATATTTTTATTGTTTTAAAGTGTTACTAAACCCACAACAGTAAAATCAGTCTGTATATGCAGTAAAGCATGCTTGTTATACTCACTGTGGAACCTAAGGGGTTAATCCTCTGCTTTGTTTAGAAATGTTGTTTGACTCTGACTTCTCTGATCCTCCCCTTCTTCCAGTGCCCCCCTCTTATCTCCTGATAAGACATATCATGAGGAGTCATTCTGCACATGGTCATTGTGGTGTGTATTGCCAGAGAGGGTTTTTTTTCTTGGGAGAGTGCATGTGATCAGCACAGGGTCAAGCACCACTGTCCAGACAAAGGTCAAGGGTCCTGCGTTCTCCTAAATGAAAACTCCTCCTATAAGCTTTAACCAGTGCTCGGCTGGACACTGATAGAAGTCACAAGACTGCACTAACTGCTGATGAGAAAATGCGTTTAGCAATTTATATTTTCTAACATAATTGCACACTTCCATGTTCTGTGTACTGAGGGACCAGATATAGTAAATGCAGGGCCCTGGGTTTAATAACACTTTAATGGCATGAGGAAATAAAATCACAAGAGTATCCAAATGTTTGTAACGCAGGGTACAAGAATAATGAAACAAACTACACAAGTTAAAGTGATTGTAAACTTACCACTTTTTAAAAAAATAACAAACATGTTATACGTAGCTGCAATGGTTCTGTACAGAGCAGCCCTATCCTCCTCTTCTCGGATCAGCTGCTTCTAATGGAGGCACTCGTGCATGCTTACTCCCAAGCCCCGCTCTGTGTATTAATGTAAAGAACCTTCTAGCTTTACAACCACATTAAGAGTGTCAATGGCAAAATATAGTGTGGCATACAAATATATTGTTTGTTTATACAATGCACAATTGACAAAACTTTGGATGGGGGGATGTAGAAGTAGCACTAGCTTTTATTCTAAATGCAGAATTCATGGGATAGGGGAAAACAGGTAGGGGAGTGTAAGATCCTGGAATATCAGATCCATCCAGGTATATGTCAATGGGTAGGAGGGTGGGAAAGGGAAAGAGGAAAAAAAAAGGGAGAAAATCAAGGGAGGCAATGAAGGGTACAGGGAAGAGAAGGAAGGGAGAATAGAAAAGGATTGGGAGTAAAAAGATGTTGCCATAGAGAGATGCAGTCTCAGGCAATAGCCCACAGCTAAGGAAACAGTCATGAGGATTTTAGGAAGTGCTATAGAAAGTGATGTTCACATTATCAGTAAATCCATGAGAATAGCTGGACCTAGGGCTGATCATTTTTTTAACCCTCCACCACCACACATGAAAAAAGTTGAAAATATTAAAGTGCAGAATTGGGCTTAAAGGGGCAAGGTTAAATAAGACCTAAGCCTGCTCACAGTATACACAGCACAAAGTCTTTGCACCCTTACAATATGCTTTAAAGTTTTTTTTTTTAAAACAACAAACATATTATATTTACCTATATTGCACAAAGCAGCCCTGGTCCTCCTTTCTGAGGTCCCCTTCTGGCTCTCCTGGCTCCTCCTCTGCTCCGTGTGCCACCATAAGAAGCCGCTTCTTATGATAGCACACATGCAAACCTGATCCCAAGCCACACTGTGTGCATCTATTCATCCCACCCCCTCATCACTGGATCTGATTGACAGCAGCAGAAGCCAATGGCTCCTGATGCTCTCATTGAGTCCAGTGAGGAGTGGGTGAGAGAGTAAGCGGCTTGCTATGGGGACACTTGGAAGGAGGGAGGAGCCAGGAGTGCCAGCAGGGGACCCCAGAAGAGGAGGATTGTGACTGTTCTGTGCAAAACCAGGCACAGAGCAGGTAAATATGTTATGTTACTTATTTAAAAAAAATACCTCTTAATCACAAAAATGTAATACATTACAGCTGATAATATTATGCTTTGGCCATATCTGGTGATGACAGAGCGTTGCAGTTTTAGCACATTTTTAAATGCATGTTTTTGGAGCAGCACCATTCAATGATGAGCCAAAGTACAATATCTCCTGTACCATTTTTTTTGGAGCTGACTTTGGCACGTTTTGAAAAGCACGGTTTTGAACTTTGTCTGTGTTTTTTTGTGTGACAAAATGCCCGGTGCTTTTGCATGTTTGGGTACCATTAACATTAATGGCACCTAAACGTGCATTGAGGGTTTTTCAGCAATGCAGTATCACAGACAGAATTGTGCGAATCTGTCAGCAATTCTAGAGCGCCAAGATGGGCCTGAGTGTAGCATGTCTGCACCTTCGGACAGTCCCTTATGACCAGGTCTAGTAAAATTAAGCTGGGGGGGTAAAGTGTATCTATAAGAAAAAACAAAGCTTTAATATATTACAAGGAGTTTAAAGTGGTGGCTGCATTAGTTTTCATTTTCTTTTAAATATTTCATCTGGTTATGTATCCAGTAAGGGCTCTTTCAGGTGGGGACGGACCCCTTTAGCAGATCCGCTTGCTCAGTGGGGGATCTCTCTGCTGATCCCCGCTAAGCAAGCGGATGACAGCTGTGTGTCCCCTCCGCTGCTGCAGAGCAGACACAGAGCTGCTCACTCTCCTCAATGGGTGGTCAGATGAAACGGTTTTCCTGTCCGTTTTCATCCGATACGATCAGACGGATGGAAGGGGAATCGGATCCCCATCCCCTTTGGCGGATTGGATGTCGGCGGGTGTAAATGGACACATGTTCTTTTACACCCGTCACTCCATAGTGGAGAATGGAGGTTCCAATTGGGTCCGCCTGAAAAATGGGCAGGTGGATCAGATAGAAACGTTCGTGTAAAAGAGCCCTAACACATTTCCTGTCTTAGGGTGTCTGCATTCTAAAAGGCGTAGTAAAGCAGACATCTTCGGACAGCAGCTTTGTCAGTCTGGGGGGAGAAAGGAGGGGGGGGAGTTAGACTAGATTTAAATGGACTTGACTAGCATATTGCAGCTGAACTCCAGCTAACACTGGCTGGATCACAGGTGAAAATAAAGGAAAGAAAGCCTAAAAAAAAGCCTAATGCAGCCACATCTAAGACCACGTCTAAGAATTGGTAAACAACAATTTGATACATTTTAGCTTTTTGGGTTTAACTTTTTAAATTATTAGGAGCACATTGCCTGCAGAATCTGGTAGCACTGGAACCTAGAGAATCTAATCCTGAAGCTGATTGGTTCACCATGCTCGAGTGGGGCTTTAAAAACTAAATACACCAATAAAATAATAATATTCTACTCGTAATATACAAGAGTTTGCTGTTAAATGTTAACTGAGAAAAAATACAAAATGCAAAGAATCACTGTTACAAATGTATTAAAGAAGAATTCTGGGTTTTTCCATAGTTACAGTGGGGATTGAAAGTTTGGGCACCCCAGCTAAAAATTTGTATTAATGTGCATAAAGAAGCCAAGGAAAGATGGAAAAATCTCCAAAAGGCATCAAATTACAGATTAGACATTCTTGTAATATGTCAACAAAAGTTAGATTTTATTTCCATCATTTACACTTTCAAAATAATAGAAAACAAAAAAATGGCGTCTGCAAAAGTTTGGGCACCCTGCAGAGTTAATATCTTGTACTGCCCCCCTTTGGCAAGTATCACAGCTTGTAAACGCTTTTTGTAGCCAGCCAAGAGTCTTTCAATTCTTGTTTGAGGTATCTTTGCCCATTCTTCCTTACAAAAGTCTTCCAGTTCTTTGAGATTTCTGGGCTGTCTGTCACGCACGGCTCTTGTAAGGTCTATCCATAGATTTTCAATGATGTTGAGGTCAGGAGATTGTGAAGGCCATGGCAAAACCTTCAGTTTACGCCTCTTGATGTAATCCCCCGTGGATTTCGAGGTGTGTTTAGGATCATTATCCATTTGTAGAAGCCATCCCCTCTTTAACTTCAGCTTTTTCACAGATGGCATCAAGTTACCATCCAAAATTTGCTGAAATTTTATTGAATCCATTTTTCCTTCTACTCGTGAGATGTTCCCTGTGCCACTGGCTGCATCACAACCCCAAAGCATGATTGATCCAACCCCATGCTTAACAGTTGGACAGAGGTTCTTTTCATTAAATTCTGTGCCCCTTCTTCTCCAAACGTACCTTTGCTCATTCCGGCCAAAAAGTTCAATTTTAACCTCAACGGTCCACAGAACTTGTTTCCAAAATGCATCAGGCTTGTCTATATGTTCATTTGCAAAGGTCAAACGATGATTTTTGTGGTGAGGACGTAGACGAGGTTTTCTTCTGATGACTCTTCCATGAAGACCATATTTGTACAAGTATCTCTTTATAGTGGAATAGTGTACCACAACTCCAGTGTCTGCCAGATCTTTCTGGAGGGATCGTGCAGTCAAACGTGGGTTTTGAATTGTTTTTCTCACAATCCTGCGAGCTGTTCTGTCTGATATTTTTCTTGGTCTTCCAGATCTTGCTTTAACTTCCACTGTTCCTGATGACTGCCATTTCTTAATTACATTCCGAAACAGAGGATATTGACATCTGAAAACGCTTTGCTATCTTCTTATAGCCTTCTCCAGCTTTGTGAGCGTCAACTATTTTCAGTTTCAGTTTTCTAGACAACTGCTTAGAAGAACTCATGGTGCTGATTGTTGGGGCAAGGTCAGATGAGTCTGGGCATTTAAAACCTTTGAGATTGACATCACCTGGTCTTCCCAGACGATGATTGAGAACAATCCATGACACTGGCAGATCTCAGCTTGGCAAAGGGGGCAGTGCAAGCTATAAATTCTGCAGGGTGCCCAAACTTTTGCAGACGCCATTTTTTTGTTTTCTGTTATTTTGAAAGTGTAAATGATGGAA